CATATGTGATATTTTATAGGACTAAAACACACTTTAATTCAACACCACTGAACCTCAAATGAGACTATGACAGATTCATTTCAATTTATCTTACAAATATTATGAAACTAAGTCATATATTATTTTCAAATCATGTTAATTGTGGGCTTGAGCTACACTTGTATCTCACAATATTGTAAAACTAAGTCATCTTTATTGTATGTATGTATCACTTTTTTTTGAAGAATATGTATGTATCACTGAGTGAACTACATTAGTGGGTACTAAACTATCAAAGAAGTTGCAAATAAGGTACTCACTTTTCACAAGTTGCAAAAAGAGTATTCAATTATGGCAGAGTACCTGCCGGTGGGAATATTCCGATGAGTTTACCTCTAATAACCGGTTGTAACCGATTTTACTTAAAAAAAATATTTTTTTTCATTTCGAAAATCAGAGCAATGATGACTTTGCCCTGGTAAAAGAGAAAAGATGCGTTTTCTTCTCCCAACGCTTATCCATCAACATCAGCTTGTGGCGGGAAATCTTCTTCACGAAGCTTCTTGGGCAAGCTTTCCCAAAATTACCCCTTAAGTTCCCATATCAGACAACACATAAGCTCCCACTTCCCTATATAAAGCAAGTACGGGGGGACCTTATACTCACATTTACTCCATCAAAGCACCTCCGAAAAAAGAAAGTTTTCTGTAAGAATCTTGATGACTTGGCCGCCATTAATCTTGTTGAGGAAAGGGCTCGCGAAGTATCGAAGCTGACATCAGGAGAAGGTATATTCCTTTTCTTTGTCTTTTTTGCATGAATGTTCTGTGGGTTTGTTTGTTTGTTTTCATCGAAGGAGTAAAAAACTAATTTTGTTGTTGTTAAAGGCTTTGACTTTGATTAAACTAAGGTTTTTTTTTTTAATTTTGTTGTTGCTAAAGGTTTTGACTATGATTAAACAAAGGTATTAATCTTGATTGTTGTGTGTGTCTCTGTTTTTTTAATTGTAAAATAATTTTATAATTAATTATATAATTAGGGTGTTGCTGTTAGTTTGTGTAACACACCCTTAGAGTAAGAACACCTCACTAATGGAATTAAAAAATCTTAGCCTTTAGGTATGGACGCTCTGGGAAACGCTCACCCCCTTTCCAGCCAACAGGATATGTTGGTCACTCACATCTTCAAGTGCCTGCTGTGGGAGGACCAAGCTTGTGGAGAAAACCTGCAAGAAGTGGCAGGTTTGGTGGCGCCTCCGCAACTTGAACTTCACCTACCCCTTCCATGGCCCAAGGGTAGCCATTCAGAAGTGGATCCTTCGAGATGTACTATCCAACAACGGCCGCGACCTCCATGCGTGGCTGAACAAAGACATGACCTTCTACTTTGATGGTTTCCCACTCCTCTTCAAGGAGGACTAGGAGTAGGGGGGTGGGGTGGTTTAGGTGCAGCACGGTTATGCTTGTTTTTGGGGTGCTGCCTAGTTAATTAAGCTTTTGTGGATCCAGTATTTTTTATTTTTTTTAATTTGATGTAAAAATGAAGGAAGTAGAATGTGGCTGTCATGGGATAAGTAGGTTTTTGTGTGACAAGAGCGGTAGCTGTTGGTTCTTTTCACTTTGCCATGATAGTGTTCAAAGGTAGTTCTAGTAGGCTGTAGTTGGTGAGCCTACCTTTTGAATGATTGTATGAACAAAATTATTATTATTATTATTATTAATGTGAATGAAATTATGAATTATGTATGCAATTGTGTCAATTTTCATTGCTTTATTTGCATAAAAATTGCCGTTTATATACATATGATTGTCTACATAAACACACTACAAGAAAATAGGCATTTTGCGACAGCTTGAATTTGTCGCAAAAAATATTAAAAACCATCGCAAAAATTAGTTACGACAGCTAACTGTCGTAACCCTTTTGTCGCTATCACAAACATCGCAGAAATTCATTTTTACGACAGTTTGGCTGTCGTACAGAAATATTACGACAGTTTAACTAATTTAAGCGACAATTTTATTAACTGTCGCTGAAATTATATGACGACAACACTAAACTGTCGTAATTTAAGACAGATTCCACAGCTGTTGTAAATTGCGACAGCTACTAACTGTCGCTACGCCAAAATTGACAATAGTTAAAGCCATGGCAAACTGCGACAGTTTTTAAAGCCATCGCATTTTACGACAAACTAAAACTGTCGCAAATTTTGGGCAGGGCGACAGTTCTAAACTGTCGCAGATTGCGACGCAAACAACTGTCGCAAACTGCGACGGATTCTTTCTGTCACAATGACCTAAGCAGGTTACTGCGTAATTACTGCTTATGATTCGTTGATTCCATATATCATCCTAAGCTGAACCTACTTCCATAATATCCATAATATGAATATATATGTATAAAGCATAAATTGATTTAAATACTAATTGCATTAAAGTTTAATTAGGTAGTGATTAAAAGGTTAGTTCTAGAAATAACATACAAAAGGTTAGTACTGCACACCTAACATACAAAAGGTTAGGACTGCACACCTAACATACAAAAGGTTAGGACTAACTAATTAAAACATAAGAGCTACGACACTGGAGTCTGGTTAGCACCACCACCCCCCATGTCTGAACAATCTTGCCACCTAGGATGGAGAGGTGGACTAGGAATGCAAGAAGAAAGGTATTCGTGGCCAAATTCAGACCATCCCCTCAGCATGTCTGCAATGAGAACCTTTTTCGCTTGTACTGCTTCTGCTTGCTCATTTTTTAGTGCCTCTTGTAGCCTGAGATTGAATAGAGCATTTATGCCCTCTAAGTGCGATGCAACCTCTTCCTGTACCCGAGCTTCTACCCGAGAAACAATGGAAGGACAATATGGTTGCGATGAATCGTTCCCCAACCAGAAGGAGGTTTGTAGAACAGGCAATCACTCTGACCTAGTCCCTTTACCACACCCCGCTTTCTACCGCAAACAGTCTCCCAATATAATTGTTTTGGGTTAGGTTGCGAACCCTGAGAAGTGCATTTTACCACCTTCTTCTGATATGCATCCTGTAACAATACACACACATACATACATATTTAAGTTTCTAACGCTTAAAAATACATACATTAATCATTGAATAAAATTTTAGTTTCAACTTGTACCAAACTAGCTCAAAGTGAGCAATTATAGCCACTAACATTCCTATAATTCATATATTGAATGAAATGAAAGAAAGAAACCTTCAATCATGTCTTATAAACATAGATATACATTTCTAACAATTGAAAAGAAGTCTCTTGATCATATTTCTAACATTTTAAGTTCAAGTTTCAACAAACTAGCTCAAAGAGAGCATGTATGGCTACTTACTTTCCTATAACTCATATATGGAATGAAATGAATAAAACAAGCCTTCAATCATGTCTTATATGGGTAGATATAAGTTTCTAACACTTCAAAAGAAGTTTCTTGATCATATTACTAACATTTAAAGTACAAGTTTCAACAAACTAGCTCTAAGTGAGCATACTTACTTTCCTATAACTCATATATGGAATGAAAGGAATGAAACAAGCCTTCAATCATGTCTTATATGGGTAGATATAAGTTTCTAACACTTAAAAATAAGTTTCTTGATCATTTTACTAACAATTAGATTTTAAGTTTCAACAAACTAGCTCTAAGTGAGCATATATGGTTACTTAGTTTCCTATAACTCATATATGGTATGAAATGAATGAAAAAAGCCTTCAATCATGTCTTATATGCATAGATATATGTTTCTTGATCACATTTCTAACATTTTAGGTACAACTTCGAAGAAACTAAATTAACACGGGCCTATTTTCCGTATAATTCAAGTAATGAATCGAGTGAATATATCATATTACCGCGATCTCCCTAGCTCTCTTATTTGTTGGCACTTTTCCTTCCCCGGGAACATCCTTGAAATGGGTCTTCAAGAATACTTTTGGGGCAGACGGGAGAACTCCACCAGTAGTCTTTGCCTATACACATTCAAATACAATAGATTAGTTTGAAATTGTAATAGATAACTATCACATAGAAATGGTTATCCATTACTAATACTTTACCAATTTCTTAGCATGCTGAACCGCCGAAATAGAACCTTGAAAGTGTGACGGTTCAATTGGATTAGACAGGGAACCGCCCCTTCTGTTCTTTTTAGCTTGTTCAGACCTCTTTAAGAACTTTTCATCCTCTCGTTTCTTCATCAAATATGCAAAGAAAGTTTCCCCATCCAGTATGGGTAGCCCGGAGTTCTGACACTGACATTGTAGGACATGTCGCTCAACCGTTTTGTCGCCTTCTTCGAGTACTCTTTTTCCACAATATTCTGCAAGTCACGAGACCAAATGAATCGAGCCTAGACCAAGGGCACAAGAATGAATTAGTTAGTAAATGCAATTGTGTTCCAAAGATAACATGTTCATTATCAAGAATACAAATAAACCTTAAACTTGTTCCACCAATGAGTCTTAGTGGCATCGTCCACCTCCTTGTAGTTGATCCATGGACCACGAAAGTGAGCCTGAAAAATGTCTGTGATTACATTAGCTATTGTATTGTCATTGAACCTATGAATAAAGGCATAGAAAATAGTTATTATTGATAAATATGCGTATATCATCCATGAATTAACTGTGTAACTTGGGCTAGACAAACTCCCAACATGCTCTACATCGGGTGTAGAAGTATTCTGGGTTTCAGGTGCATGTAGTGGTGTGAATTATAGGGGACCCAAAATACTGTGTCTTAGAATCATCTACTAGGGTCTCTGGTATCGAGATCTTTGGTACATGACTATCTTGGCTGTCATGTGTCTCGGATGATGGAAATAGTTCCTTCCTGTGTTCAGGTACACCCTGTCCCAAAACTCGTCGCCTACCTCCAGCTATAACAACCTGGGAAAAAAACACGCACGCACGCACGCACCCACCCACCCACCCACCCACACACACACACACAAACACAACAATGGTATACCTGTATAAACAATAAGGAATCAATTAAAGATGGTATAATCACAATAAAGATAAATATAAAAAATAAGGAATTAAGCAGTTAGGGAAGAACGATATTCTACATTACAAAGACACTTCATTGTTCATATTATTACATATATAGTTATCTGAGTACACAAACTAAAGTTCTCAAGAATCCCCGTCATCGCTATAATAATCCTCATCACTATCATAATCCAAAAAAAGATCGTCCTCGTCATCATCGCTATTGGTTGACTCAAAACTGGACTCTTCTGAAGTGGGTTCAAGGTTTGGGATATCTTCATCATCCGAATCATCATCGCCGTTCTCGTACCCAGGAATATCTTCTGGAGCACTCAAGGTTGGTGCCTCTACATGTGTTTCTTGTATAAAGCCGAGGTCTATTGGAGCATCAACAAACGACCTTGCCTTTGTCTTAAACACAGCCCACCATTAACAACGATCTTTTTTCAGACTAGGGTAGGGTGCAAATTACACCTACTTTGCTTGGTGAGATAGCACAAAAGGATCGTACTTCGGGTATTTCTTTGTATGATTGACTTTTACGAGCTTATAATGATCAACATTCATGCCCCTCGTACGGTCCATCCAACTGCACTTGAACAAAACAGTTTTATAAACTCTGCTGGCATTAGTGAACTCGAGTTCAATGACATCCTGCAAGATACCAAAGTAGTCTCCACCTTCCTTATTTGACACACAACACCGTAGTTTTGGGTGAATTTATGTTTCCCATGTTCATGAGTCTGAAAATTGTATCCGTTCACATAGTATTGGGTGGATTTATGTTTTCCATGTTCATGAGTCTGAAAATTGTATCCGTTCACATAGTATTGGTTCCAAGTGCGCACTCGCTTAGATGGACCCATTGCCAAAGCAAATAGTACATAATTATCTGGCTTATCTTCAATCACCTGATTAGCCATTAAAATGTTAAAAATCATAACTTCATTCAATAATGAAAAAAACTTAACATTTGAAAGTCCAATAGTACTCACTTTTTTCCTAAACCACTCGAGGAACTCAACTTCATGACGAACCCACACATCTTCTTTACGGATTATAGGTCGGGTTTGTACAATATACTCCTCGAAACCCCTTAAATTAAGCACCATAATGATTATAATTGTGAGTGTATTGAAACTCAGATTATCTATTCATCCAATATGAAAAACTTTAATTAAAACATGTAACAATCAATTACCTCTTATAGTCTTCTAAAATTCCAGTATTTGTTAACACATACAAGTGTGCCCGTATAAGTTTAACCTCATCCATGAACCGAAGAACACCACCAGTGGAAGAACGTCCGCAATCAACCCTAAAGCATTCTGGTACATTTTGATCTAAGGTATTCTCAACATTAAGATTGACTTTTCGTGATAAGCCCCTAGTTTTTGTATCTACACCGTCCTGGAAGTAGTTGCTACAGAAGTTTGAAATCTCTTCAGCAAGGTATGCCATGCAAATGGACCGTTCAACGCGGGCTTTGTTGCCGATTTTGCGTTTCAAATGATTAAGGAACCTGAAATAAGGACTAACTCGATATTACAAATGTATGAAATGGAAATAACTATGGTAGTTAATTGTTGTAGATAAAAAAAAGAAGCTTTGGTAATTTACATTACCTTTCAAATGGATACATCCACCGGTAATGAACAGGTCCACATAACCGAGCTTCATATGGCAAGTGGACAGGTAAGCGTTCCATGGAATGGAAGAATGATGGTGGAAATATCTTCTCAAGCTTACACAATATCTCAGCAATGTTGTGTTCCAACCTTTCAATGTCACTTAAGGTGATAGTGGAGCAACACAAGTCACGAAAGAATAAACTTATTTCCGTAATGGCTTTCCACACATGAACAGGCAACAATTCCTTAAAAGTAACCGGTAACAATCTCTCCATGAAGACATGGCAATCGTGGCTTTTCATACCATGTAGCTTGCACGATAATAAGGCTACGCACCTTGCCAAGTCAGAAGCATAACCGTCTGGAAACTTCAAATCTTTGACCCAATTGCATAGCACTTGTTTCTGGGCCCTATTGAGGGTGAATGGGGCCTTTGGTAGAGTTTTGTTTCCTCGAGCATCCTCCATAACATAGAGCCGTGGACGTTTACAAAACTTGGCAATATCTTTTCGGGAGGCGGGTGTGTCGCAAGTCTTTTATTTCACATCCATAACAGTGTGAATTAGTTGGTTGAAAAAATTCTTCTCAATATGCATGACATCTAGGTTATGGCATACCAATAGAGTCTTCCAGTACGGTAGCTCCCATAAAGTGCTTTGTTTGAACCAACTCTTTTTCGACTTCTTAAGTCTTGCGAGAGCTTTAAGGCGATCCGTGGCCTTTGGCATGTCTTTAACACATTGCCACAACTCCTCGCCGGACATGATGTGTGGTGGATGACCCTTCTCCACCTTGTTTCTACAGAAGGCGACTTTATTGTTCATAATGGGTGATCAATAGAAAGGAATTGTTTGCGAAAATCAAACCACGAGGCTTTACCTTCATGGTCAAGCCAAAGTGTTTTTGCCTTGTCCATACAGTTAAGGCAAGCCTTTTTCCCGGCTGTAGACCAACCAGAAAGCATACCATAGGCTGAAAAATCACTAATGGTCCACAAAATGGCAGCACGCAGATTAAAATTCTGCTTTCTAGAAATGTCATAAGCTGTTGCACCAACATCCCACAATTGCTTCAACTCATAGACTTGAGAATGCATGTAAACATCCAAATTCCCTTTTGGATTCTTAAGACCCGAAATAAGCAACAACAAGAGCATGAATGGTTTTTCATGGACATAGAAGGAGGCAAGCTGTAAGGGGTTAAAATCACCGGCTAACATGAATATTGACCACAGAACTTATCATGTGGAGCAAACCCATCGGTACACAATCTGAGTCGCACATTACAAGGTTCTGATGCAAACTCAGGAAATGATGTGTCCAAGTGCTTCCAAGCTTCACTATCACTAGGATGTACCATGATGTCTTGGACTCGGGGATTTTTAGAGTGCCAAGTCATTTCTTCAGCAACATTCTTGGTTTCAAACAACCTTTGCAACCTAGGAGTGATTGGGAAATAAGTGAGGACTTTCAACGGAACCAAAGACCCTTGTGAAGTTTTCTTGTATTTGTTGCTTTTACACACTCTACACTTGTCCAACTGTGCATCAGCTCTCCAAAATAACATACAACCTTTCGGGCACACATGAATTTTCTCGTGGGGAAGCTCCAAACCTTTAAGAATCTTCTTTGTGAAAATGTCTTACCCATGTTGTTAGGTAATGCCTCATATAGTAAAGAAGCAAATGCATCACCACACCGATGAGGCAAATTGTATTCACTTGATAGATACAATTCTAGAAGCCATTTCCAACATAGACATGGAGCTCCCCTTGTACAGTGGTTTCTGGGATGCCTGTAAAAGGTTAAAAAAACTCTTTGGCTTGATCATTAGGCTCTTCCTCAACACCGTCACTAGTCTTAGTATGACCCAACGTTTCAAGGTTATTCCCAAGAGCATCAAAGATCATTTCATGGTATGGATTAGGTTGCTCATCAGTTGATTGAGGGAACCCTTCCCGTGAGAAACCCAATCAAAGTATTCAGGTAAGAACCCCTTCTTATACAAATGAAGTTTCACCGTGTCAGCAGGTAACAAACGTTTATTCTAGCATTTCACACAAGGGCATCTAACTTCATCTAACCCCGGGCTCTCGGGATTTGCTTTGCAAAACGCAATATATTCGTCGACCCCATTCAAGAACTCGGACCTAAAGTTACGGCCGTCATATCTATCGTACATCCACCAGTGCTCCTTCCTTTTCATGGTGATAAATTCTACAACACTATTCAATATCGGAAAATCACAGAACTTTATCACAAATATTAATAATCACCTAGCATTAAGAATCTCAAATTTGAAGAACAAATCATAACATACATTACATAAATTAATATTTCATAAACAAAATTCTATGCTTTAATCATGACATTCACTATTGTAAACTTTTACCTTATATAAAATTTATACTTTTTCAGATTTAAATATGGAATTATTTTATAAATGACATTTTAAGCTATTACATACACACTAACTTTAAACAATATGCATAACTACTTTAACTTGAATTTAAAACTATAACATACATATTTTAGTATAAACTATTACATACTTATACACACTTTAAACAAACTCATTCTCATACTCATACTCATCCTATAAACTAACTCCTATAGCTCATACAAATGTAACAAAAAAAATTTCATTCGAAGCATACAAAATAAATTTATGCACAACTCACCTTAGAAAGGAACCAACTCAAAGCAAAAGCACACCAATTTGCTTAAATCCTACATAAATTAGAAAAAATAAATTATTAATTGTGAACTATTATAAATATTTTTGATAAAAATAGTAAAAACTAAGTTAAAAAAAATATAGATTATATGGGTTCTCATAATTTTCCAGATTTCTACTGCCCTTCTCAAGGTTTCTCATAATTCATGATAAATTAAATATGTTTACTTTAAAATCTAGACTAGTATGTTCAGCATGTTGCTAATTCACATAATCAACCTATAATTTAAAAGGCACTAGTGCATGATAAATTCATAGTTTTTCTCAAATTTCAATAGTAAAAACGAAGTGAAAAAAAAAAAAAAAAAAAAAAAAAACCATTATAACTAGAAAGCTTAGGGAGATTAGCTTAGCCACAAAGAGCTGATTGCTGAGCTTTTTATGCCAGAGAGATAGTGGTTGACAGTATAACAAAATATTTTCACTGCAGTATAGCTTCACTGTACCTTATAATCTTCCTACATGCGGTTGCAAATTTTCAGCAAAACCTGTCACCAATTTGTTGTACAGAGTATTAGGGAGGGAGACTATTCATACTTGCCGCAAAATAGAGAAAACAACCATCACCAACTATCTCACAAGAATTTGGCACCTAGGGTTAAAGCTCTAAGTCTCCAATTCATATCGCCATACAAATGTTGTTAACACATCTTCTTTCTTAAATGGACATATATATAAATCTGACTAGTAACAAGTCAGAAAATTTTCAAGAATCCAAATTTAATACTTCTAGATAACTGCAATACTTCTAAGAAGTTGCGATAAGGATAAAGTTCTTGAAGGATAAAGGTCGGTTTTTACCTCAAACCGGCGTCAAAGGACAAATCTAGTCCGGCGTCAGGGCATTCAGAGCTCAAGCGTTAGTGAGGTCGCAAACCAGAGTCAGGGCAGGCGGCGCACCGGCGTCAGAAAAAGCGACACTCCGATGGCCTTCTGATGGCTTTAGGCGAGCGACGAAAAGGTAGGGTTTAAGTGATAAAATGATAAAATTAAAATTAATTAAATAGAATAGACAAGAAACGGGATTACCAACTAGACGATTGTGGAGGATCGAATTCCCAACGACGGATCGACGAGAGGAGTGTTGACGGAGTTCCCTCTCGTTCCTCTCTCGTCGCGGCGCCTGTTAATGGGAATGGAGTGAAAGAGGGGGAAATAGGGTTGTTTTAATAAAATTAGTTTTTAGAAAAAAATTTCATAAATCTGCAATAGTTTTTGCAATAGTTTAAGGATGTCGCAAGCTTTCGAATTTTTAAAAAAATTAAAAAGCAATTTTTACGATGGTTATTGTCTGTCATAAGTTTATTATATAATTTAATGACAAATCAACCGTCGTAAAAGGTATAATAACCGTCGTAATTTACGATGGTTTTTTATGGCCATCGTAGCTAAACTGTCGTTATTTAGGCGGATTCTAGTAGTGACAAATGATTTGAACTTATAGTGGATATGTGATCATGTATTCATTTCCTTTGTTTATTAACCAATATGCTGCATTTGAAACCTTGCTTAATAGTTCATCATGGGGGGGAATGGGTTAGGCTGGTCAAATGATTTATAGTGGGGGGGGGGGAGAGTGAGCACATTTGATGATATACCGGAAAATGTGTAGGGTTTCGTAGTGACCCGACACTACGCGGAAGGAAACCCACCAAGACCCGCCCCTTAATTAAAGCAATTAAACAAGCATAATTAACTTAATCAAACAAGATTAAGGACAAGAATTATACCTTTGACGCGTGCTTCGCTCCCAAAGAGCTCTTACTTCAAAATCCCGAAAAGACGAGATCTCCAACGGATCGTACCCTCGACCCGACCCGAGCGTCCTAAGTCTTGAAGGTTAGTCAAGACCCGGACAAAATAACTATGAGTTTTACGAATCAAAGGTTTACTCTTTTCTAGAGTTTCCTTTTTAATTCCACTCAAGGTTGTATCAAATCCCAATACCAAGCTTGGTATTTATAGGGAAATGATCCCTTGATTTCCAATCTCCCATCAATGTGGGAGAGTTGGTAAAATGATAATTATTTAATTCCAAAATTAAATAATTAATCAACACAATCACAAATCGACACATGGCACAAATATAGAGAAGGCCAAGTGAGGACCAATGTTTGGGGGGACCATTGCCTTGATCCCCAAGGCCATGTATTGGTCCCCACACACCATGCCCAAAACCGGGTCAAGGTGTGCTAGCTGGCTGCCAGCCAGCGTGCCAGCTGGGGCTGCCAGCTAGCATGCCTCGCGGCCCAGCACCCAGCCAGCCAGCCAGTGTACGCTGCTGTTGGGCTGTGCTGGTGCTACGTGCTGGCGCTGGGCGCTGCTAGCACCTAGTACTGGCATTAGCCCCAGCAGCCCACGCACTCACTCTTCGCGCCTCACTGCTAGCACACCCAACATGCGTGCTGCTAGCGAGCCACGCATGCTGGCCACACTGCCCCCCGCATTATTCGCATACCCCATCGCACTAGCACTAGCCAGTGCCTAGAACTGCTTGTGCTTGATGCGAGGCATGTGCGCACGTACACGCACCAGCCATGCGCCACGCACCACGCACTGCCAGCCCACACGCATCACATGTGAGGCTGCTTTTGAGAGGCTAGTGCGCGAGGCTGCTAGTGCCAGGCCTAGCATCAAGCTGGCCCCAGCCCTCGCATATGCTGCGATGCTTAGTGCTGACATGCGAAGGCTAGCACTCAAGCACACGCACATGGCGCGCCATTGCCAGGCAGCCAGCCATGCCAGCACTTGGTGCTTGCAATGCTGCTGCCAGGCCAAGCACGCAAGCACGCAGCACCTAATGCTTGCGATGGTGCGCCTGGTGTTGCCATGGCCTGCGATAGGCGCCACATGCACCCAGGCACCACGCTAGCATGCTTGCTAGCTGCTATGGGCTGCCTGGTGCCTGTGTGGCCTGCGATGGCTGCCATGCGCACCTAGGCACCCATGCTAGCTTGCGATGGGCTACTAGGGTGCGCCTAGGCTGCGATGGTGCCTAGCACACCATGGTGCGCCTAGCACACACATGGTGCGCCTAGGTTGCGATGAGCTAGCCTAGCCTAGCTATGGCTACGCTCATGCTTGTCGATTGTGATTTTGCGACGCTCGGTATCGACGCCCTAGGCTCGATTTTCGACGTCTGTATTCGTAAAACTCTGTCGACTGATTAAATCCTTTCGGATTAATTCGACGTCTCGGATCGGAGATTCGATTGGGTTCGACCCGAAGGGTTCAGTTAAGATTAAGCTGTAATATCAATTGTACCCTGATATTACTGATCGGAAGCGGTCTCCACCTAGGCATTCCGATCACTTGACCTTACTGAAGAATTACCTCTGTAATAATTCTGAACCCTCTACCGGAATAATACACTTGTTGGAAGGACACCATTCCTTTCAATCTCCCACTTGTCTTTCCGGACAAGTGTGCATATTGTGTATAGCTCATTTCCTTTGTCACTTAATGTTTCTTCGTGAACTATAAGGTAAGATTCCTTGTCATCCTTATTACGTTAAGAAGTGTTTCTCGATCTCCGAGTTCGACTGTCAAATAAGCAGATGATTTCTAAAATCCATCTAGCATGGCCATGCATTTTACAGTCTCACTCTTCGAGCGGCCTTTTAAACAACAAAACATTTTCCCTATTGTTAGTAGGGGGACAATCCTAGTCTTGTATTGTAAGTTCTTCTTACTAAGAGGACATAGACTCCCGAGTATTCCCGTTATGATCCCCAGTTACGGCAGACGTTAGGAAACATCAAAGAGCCTAGTACTCAAACAAGAAAACTTCACAGTACTCATGGTCTGAGGAAATAAGTTCCGATAGCCATAATGAGAAATGTACTTATGACAAAATTTAATTTTCTTAAAGTACTCTCATAGGTCTTATCCAGTACAGTTCTAAACTGTACCTGTGCAAATGATTTATGACTGTCACGTCCTCGCAGCACAAGAAACGGTGATGTAAATCATACTACACACTAATCTATTGCGGTCATCAATCGTCCATCTGTTAGATGACCTCGATTAGGGATACTTTTCGATTTAATATTCAACGTTCACTTAACAGGTGTTTCTTTATCCAAGACATGGTCTTGATACCCTGTTTTGAATATTTTCGTAAATCGAATGGACTCATTATTTAATTCTAAACCATAATTAAATAGTAATGGAGTGAATGATAATTTTGCACAAAAATTAACTACTCCATTAATGAATGGTTTTAGTACAGTGTCTTACATTAAATCAACCCTGTTTAATTAAAACACTTGTACAGGGAATATCAAAGCCAGTCTCCAAACATGCTTGATTCCCATTGCCTCAACGTGTTTGTTGTGTTTCACTTGAGGCAGAGGTTTAGTCAAAGGATCGGCCGTTGCACGTGCCGATCTTACAAATTCTGATTTCACCTTCGGATTTCCATTCCCTTATCATGTGAAATGGTCGTTGCACGTGTTTGACCTTCTGGTGTTCTCTCGGCTCTCTAGCCTGAGCGATAGCTCCATTATTATCACAATAAAGGTCTATCGGTCCCTTGATTGAGGGTACAACACCAAGTTCACTGATGAACTTGCGAATCAAAACAGCTTCCTTGGCTGCTTCCGAAGCGGCCAAGTACTCGGCTTCAGTTGTAGAGTCTGCAGTGGTGCTCTGCTTGGCACTCTTTCAGTTGAACGCTCCTCCATTCAGACAGAATACATATCCTGACTGTGACTTAAAGTCGTCTCTGTCAGTCTGGAAGCTAGCGTCGGTGTAACCTTCAACAACCAGTTCTTTGTGGCCTCCATATACCAGGAATTTATCCTTGTTCCTTTTCAGGTACTTAAGGATATTCTTGGTCGCAGTCCAATGCGCCTCTCCTGGGTTCGATTGGTATCGACTTGTTGCACTTAGGGCATACGATACATCCGGCCTTGTACATATCATGGCATACATGATCGATCCGATTAGCGAAGCATATGGGATCTGATTCATTCTTTCTCGCTCAACAGGTGTCTGTGGACACTGTTTCTTGCTGAGAGTTATGCCATGGGACATGGGTAAATGCCCTCTTTTGGCATTTTCCATGTTGAATCGAGCCAGTACCTTATCAATGTAAGTACTCTGGCTTAATCCAATCATCCTCTTAGATCTATCCCTGTAGATCTTGATGCCCAATATGTACTGTGCCTCTCCTAAGTCCTTCATTGAAAAGCACTTTCCCAACCAGCCCTTTACGGACTCCAACAATTTTGTGCTGTTTCCAATGAGCAGTATGTCATCGACATACAGGACTAGGAATGCAATATCACTCCCACTGACCTTCTTGTATACACAAGACTCATCTGGATTCTTGATAAAACCAAACTTGTTGATGGCTTCATCAAATCGCAGATTCCAACTCCTGCTGGCTTGCTTTAGTCCATAAATGGACTTCTTCAGCTTGCAAACCTTTCCAGCGTTGCCTGGATTGACAAAACACTCTGGCTGTGTTATATACACAGTTTCTTCCATAATCCCATTAAGGAAGGCGGTTTTGACATCCATTTGCCATATTTCGTAATCGTAATATGCAGCAATCGCTAGGATAATCCGGACGGACTTTAGCATTGCAACTGGTGAAAAAGTTTCATCATAGTCAATCCCGTGGACTTGTCTATAACCTTTTGCCACTAGTCTAGCTTTGTATACCGATACATTTCCATCTTTGTCTGTCTTCACTTTGAAGATCCATTTGCAACCAATGGGTGTATAACCCTCGGGCAAATTCACCAAGTCCCAGACTTGATTTTCAGACAGGGAGTCCATCTCGGATTTCATGGCCTCTTGCCATTTTGCAGAGTCGGGGCTCGTCATAGCTTGCTTGTATGTCGCCGGCTCATCACCATCCATAACTAGGATGTCCTGATCATCAGTTAAGACAATACCGAGGTATTTGTCTGGTTGAGATCTTTGTCGTTGCGACCTACGTAGGGTAATCGGTTGAGCATTTACATTGTCTGTTTGACTTTGACCAATCTTCTCAGATGCTTCCAAAGTATCCAGATTGTCAGTTTTGTCAGGTTGACATTGTTGTTGCTCGTCCTCTCGAACTTCATCGAGTTCGATTTTCCTCCTACTTGTCATTTTGGAAAGGTGATCCTTCTCCAAAAAGACACCATCACGAGCAACAAATACTTTGTTCTCGGATTTATTGTAGAAGTAATACCCTTTGGTTTCTTTTGGATATCCCACAAAGAAACACTTA